CTCCTTCCACAATTCCATCTTAAAGGTCTTTGAATTTAAAAGATATTTTAGCCATAATATGAGATTTACTGTGTATGAAGAGGTATCAGGTCTGTTAAAGAAACAAAGAATGTATGATGCTAAAAGAGCTCAGTGGAAAATCTTTTTTTGAGAGCTATGACATTTAAAATCTTCTTAAGGCAAAAAAGATTAAATTAATGTAATTATCACAATGCTCCACAGTGACTAAAATATCTCAATGATTGTGGAGTCCAATGACTATTGTTTGACAAAACCAGAGCTACCCTACAAACCATATAAAAAAAATTAACCTGCAGGTTACATCATGAGGTTGTCTCAAATATGAAAATTTGGGACATGGACCTATGTCTTGATGACTCTTCATACGGTGTAATTCCAGAGGCCCCCAGTCATGAAATGTCTCCCCGACCTACCTCACTTATGCCTAAAGTTTCTTTAATAAGGGCACTATATTTTCCCGTATAATTAGAGAAGAGTGGTAAAAATAAAATAGAAATAAAGTTCTTAGAGAAAACCATAGAGAAAGTTAAACCTAGCAAGCATCCTAGGTATTGTTGAATCCACCTCTCTTGTTTTCTTGATAAAGGAACTTAGACTTGGAAACGTGAAGTGATTTGCTTGAGGTCAGTTAGTGGGTCCAGGTCTAAATGTTAGATATTAGATGATTTCCTACCTAATAAGATCTGTGTGGTTCTCTGCCCTTGCAGCCTTACTCTCCCTACCAGTGAGGTCAATTTTCAGACTCCTTTTCTCCTTATATCCCATCCTACCCCACAAGGAGACTCTGGTATGAACCCCATCTATAGACAGACAGAATGTTGGAAACCCTGATCCAACAGTTGGGTGACTCAGCATCACATCACCTGCTAGTTGGGATGTGACTTGGGACCACACTTCTCAAAACAGGCTCGTGACTTGCTCCTGAGACCCAGTCAACCCTACTTCAGGTCACTTGGACTTGTCAGAGTAACTTTCCAGTTTCACATACAGTTTAGTTTTGATAGCAGCCTAATGCACACTGCCTGCCTGGCTGCCTAGTTCTCCAAATATAACCCGATCCTTGATTATCCAGGGTTGCAAAGTGTAAAGTGCAAAGACTTAAGTCAAAGGACCAGAATCACTCTCAAATGACTTTGGGCATGTTATTTAACCCACCACGTCCCAGTTTCCTCAGCTGCCAAATGGGGACTGTATACTCTTCTCATAAGATTCAATGAGGAATCACCTGTGTAAGTAATTAGTGTCTACACATATAGTAGGTTCTCGGTATATATTGAGAGAACCTAAGTCTGTCATACTCCTGCCACTCATGTCTGCTGTCTTGCTGAACCCTAAGTGTGCCAATTATTTGCCCCAAACCAATTGAAGTCCCAAACCAATTTGCCCCCAAACCAATTGAAGTCCCGTCTGGATATCTTATAATGACCTGTAAGTAAACCTTTTTTCCTTGCCCTTGCCCTCCTTCTGTGGACATAACTCTCCAAATTTTTTGCTCAGTGGGCCTGTTTGGCCCCAGCCAGGCATGTCAGGCCTGATCATGAGACATCACTACCAAGAGCCCAAGGGGAGTGAGCATGTGAACACACACTTATCTGAAAATATGAAGACTAGGAGAAGTGAACCCTGAAGGGCCCAAAATTCCACAAACAGGCCAGTGTCCTAAACAGAATACCAAACAGACTACCACAATACTTCAGACTGGGTCTGAACACTTAGCAAATGCACCACCACTCCAGCTAGAGGAGAAGAGTAGCCGTCAGAAAGCAGCCAGGAAGAAACCCCTGTGGTTTTGTTGACTTTGCCCCTGCGCTACGCTTTCAAGTACAACTGCAAAGCACATACTTTAAAAACAACAGTAGGCCTGAGTTCCCCAAATCAACTAATGGAACCCAGATTGATGGGACAGGGCACATTCTGTGGGCCACCTATAACCTGATACATGATAGGAAACCTGACAAAAGGGGTCTGTAACAGTGCCTGTAATCCCACCACTTTGGGAGGCCGAGGCAGGTGGATCACCTGAGGTCAGGAGTTTGAGACCAGCCTGGCCAACATGGTGAAACCCCGTCTCTACTAAAAATTAGCCAGGCATGGTAGTGTGCACCTGTAGTCCCAGCTACTCAGGAGGCTGAGGCAGGAGAATCACTTGAACCTGGGAGGCAGAGGTTGCAGTGAGCTGAGACCATGTCACTGCATACCATGCTGGGTGACAGAGTGAGACTCTGT